GCCTCCTGCCCGGGCTTGGCTAGCTGTCGGTTAGCTAGCTGGCTAGCTGTTGCGGCGCTAACCTCCTCCTGGTTTTGACCATCAACATGACCGCTGCAGCTGCCCTCGTCGCTGCTTGTGGAGGCTTTTCTGACTCGTTTTGAAGTGTCTATTACCTCTTCCTTCTTTTTGAAGAAAGACAGTAAATGTAACTGTCTTTTTGACATGCTTGCATTGAATCACCGTTTCTTGCTCTCTGCGACGTGCTCCTCATGTGGCGAATTTCAAAAGTGAAAGACGTTTGTCCGTTGGTCCAGCTTTTCAGTGCGTCAACACAGATCTCCGACTCTTTCAAATCTTAATCTTAATAAACGACATGAAATTCTTGGGATTTTTTCTGTAAATTAATATCTGCATATTTTATTTCATTTTAACCATTTTTTATTTTTATTTTTTGTGAGAGGTACCGGATCTGCCCAAATAGGTGCCGGAACACAGGGTGGCCAAAATGAAGAGGTGCCGGATCCTGTTCCGGCAGAACAGGAAATTAACCACTGCTTACGGTACTGAAAAATCTTAATTTGGCTGACTTACTCTTGACCTAGTCACATTACAACAAATGCTACCCTTTCATTTTCTGGACATCGAGATTTTCTCCATAAAATATCAGCACACAGCCAGGCTCAAATGGTAGCCAAAGGTAGTTGTTTGAGTGGCGAGGAAGAGTGTGAGGTGTTGTGACAACGTACACTGTAAGATGATGATGTTCCATGCTACTGAATCAGTGATGCCTTTTAATAGAACTGCCTGTATCAAGCCAGTGAGGAAATAGTTGCAAATGAAAGGCAGGCTGTATTGGATAAACTTCATTTATAAATCATCATCACCATCAACACACATCTAAATTAAAACATTTTCTAAATTGAATAAGCAGATACTTTTTCACAATATAAAATTATATGATTAATGACATCATGACTATATCTTTATCAAGCTGCAACATAGTCAACCATTTGCTTGCAATGATGTTTCAGTCAAAGTCTAACAAAGATACTGTATAATAAAATAGATAAGAGTGCTTAACATTCATGCAATACATTATTTGTAAAAGATATGTGTGGCTTTGAAAATACATAACACTGGGACTTTGGTGTTGTGTATATAATCTAAAGTCCCAGTGTTATGTATCTACCAAATGTAAGTCAATACAGTTAATAAGCAAGTCCTCTGTGTACTGTTGTATTCCCAATATATCTATTGGATGGAATTTGTCCCATGTTTTCATTGTTTTCTTTGCCCATTGGCTTCAATAACAATGGGGTCTACTTTTCTGTCAGTGGGAGATCCACAGCTATTGAATGAGCGCAAATAGGAAAACACTGACCTGACTCCTCAAAGTCTCGGTTGGCCATTTTCCAGGAATCTCTGATTTTCTGCACACTGGCTTCCATAGCTCTCAGAGCCACCTCAGGGCAATTACACTGTGGGTAGTCCACGGCGCAGTGGCACCAACAGTCATTGTCCCGGCACACAAACTGGCCTTCCTCATTACATCCGATGTAGCTGAGAGCTGCCTGCACAAACCTTGGCTTTAGGTACTCTGGCAGAATGGCTTGAAGGCCTGTGACAAGAACAAAATCATGGAAATGTCACATGGCTGAATGAATACGGAGCTCTTCAGGTATAGCAGTAAATTAGTTTAAATGGCTGTTGTACACTAGATCTGTAAATCACTAAGGGTCGACGCTCATTTTCTCTGCTTTTATCTTGCCACGCTTGACATATGCTTGGCGTCACATGCAATGTGCTGAGATTCACTTAAAGTTTTATTTGTACTGCACAGTGCTGCTACTTTTGTTGTGAATCATTACTTGGATTCACTTCAGAAATCGGCAAGCATGCATGGGCAAAAAAGAGTGATTGAAGCAAAACTCATTCTGACACTCATGCTGCTGTTATAAGCTCGCTGGAGAACAGACACTGCGACAATTCCATCAAAAATTGGAGGAGTTCAATTATGGATGCCCAACCTTGCAAATGAATCTTGTTTTCAGGGCTCTGAACCAAAACGGAGCTGACAGAGTCGAGGTTGTCATAGTTACTGCATCCAAGAGGGCCTGTTCTTGTTTCGGTCACCTAAAGGGAGAAACACAAAGGAACATAACAATAACCCATATTGAGAGAGTAACCCACCAATGGCATTAAAAATAAACAGGGGGAGGGTGAGATAAAGGAAAAAGAAAAGGGAGAACATGTATGACTTGTCAAGCAGAATCAGATTAATCTTCTCCCCCCTTTATAAACATATTACATATTCTGAGATGTATTGTGAACATCTTAACTAGGAGAATGACGTGGACTGGAAACTGTGTCGTGATATCTCTGGAGTAAACCTTAATGAGCAAGTTGTATCATCCGTCAAATTTGTCTCAACATTGTTTTTCCCCATTACAATGCCCCCTGACACCCATAACATGCTGCTGTAAGCATGTCCTATTGAATGATACACACTGTAAAAACGCAAACTTAAAATTGTTGGCCTGAAAATAATTTGTTTGTAAGGTGAACAAAAAATATTGAATTGCGTTGCTTACTACATTAA